ATCAAGTGATGTGCTAATCAGGGGGAGTTGGAAACATATTGTACTCTTTTCCTTAGTTATGTTTTTCCACTGGGTTTTGTTAACAAGGTTTTTAACGAGGCAATTGTTTCCAAAATCTATTAATAATCATGTACTCTTTTTCCTTAACAAAGGGTTTTTCCCATGAGGTTTTACCGATTAAGGTTTTAACGAGGCATGATACAATCGTCATTCAAGGGGGAGTGTTATGAATTATTATTTAGTGAATGACTATTGGATTCTCCATATTCCCCCATTACTCTCCATAATTAGTGAACATTATAGAAAAACATTATTATGAGTTTTATGAGTGTAGTTATCCACCACTATAATGACCATTCGTATCATACATCACCTTTCATCTTCTTTGTCCAGTATAAATAGTGAATATTATGTATTGTAAAGTTTGATGATTTCATCACAAGTATTGGAATAAAAGTTCTGTCTACTATCATGTCTTTCTTTACTTTATAAATAGTGAATATTATTTGATCATATTTTATAACATTAATTTAATTTTCAGAAAAAAAAAAGATAATTCCCTGGAAAAAACAAATGATACATACTGATTTGTTTCTTTAATTTCATGAAAACATCGATCTCTACCTTCCTTGATCTTTGACTCCTTAACGTAATCATCCTTCTGAAAGGAAACACAATTTGCTTTGTGGCTTCTACTTCAGCTTTGACGATTACACAAAGACCATTAAAAAAATGTTCAACAAATTAGATATTGTCACACACATTTCAGAAACTTCCCTGAAATAGGAGGTTGAACAAATCAAAATCATAGGTTCAAGAAATCGAAAATCATAGAATTCGGCTCAAAAATCGACTTGGTTAGCCTATAACTGGGAAAAGAAATTCGTGTTGATATTATAAAGTTTGTTTGAATAAAAATCGATATGTAGGTTCTTATTTGTTTTTATTCAATGTATAGAGACATGACAGACGCATGTAAGGTGTTCGATGAAACAACTGAGAGAGATCTTGTTGCCTATATATATCTGATAATTGGATACATTCAAACCACTGATCATCTTGCTTGTGGAGGCTTTGCTATTGTTCAGCATATGCAAATTGAAAACCTAAAACCAAACAAGTCACTTTATTGAGTTTTCCACAAACAACAACACGAGTTACGACACAAGAAGGTCAAAGATTTGGTTTAATTACTTTGGAAAATAGGATTATAACTTGTGTGAGTTTGTGGTTATTATGGGTGGGTAAGAGCATCCATGGTTATATGTTTGGACATAGAGTTCAACTGCATGTGGTGGTCATGTTATATTCTATTCAATCTCTTTTCAACTTTTTCTTTGTTTTTGTTAAATTTCATAAAATGTTGCATTTTCGAATAAACCATTCATCGTCTTAAAATTCTTTTAAGAATTGGTCATGTTGCTCACCCTCACATATCCAAATTCAATGGCTTGCAGTTCTTCCTCTAGTTTTATGAATTAGAGATCCATAATCATTGTAACTATATACCCAACAGATCCAGGGAACAAACAGACTAAATAACCCTCAGGGGTAAAATAACTTGGTTTTTTGTTTACCTTATATATATATATATATATATATATATATATATATATATATATATATATATATATATATATAAAGAGAGAGAGAGAGGTTCAAGTATTCTAACTAATTATTGTGTTGATATAGGAATCGTTGTGAATCAATCATTTTAAAAGGGTAATTATGTAATTTTACATTCAATTAATATTTTTAATTAAATTAATATCCATAATTAAAATCCTTTTTTATGGAAACGAACATATCCCTACCGATGACCACCAAGTTCTCGTTCTCTATTTATGAAGGCTGATCTCGGTGGCAAAACATAACCCCTAGAGGCAGATCCTTCGTCATCTTCAAAATGGGTCTAATTTCCATCATAAAAGGGAACTGGAAAAGGACCTGGATCACAAACTGGAACACTGGTGAGATTTTTTAAATCTATTGCTTATAGATTCAATCTTTTTCATCTCCTCCGACAACATCGTCAGCTTCATCATCCGTTGCAGGAATCAGTCTGCCTTCGTCTTTTAAGACCTTACACCAACAATCACCAAATGTATATCCGAGAATGCTATTCTTAAGAATTTAATTCATTTTGATGACATTCTGTTAGAATATATACAATTCTATTAAAATGTATGAGCCTGTAAGAATATTTAAGATGACATTCTATTAGAATACGTACAATTCTATTAAAATGTATCCTTCTGTAATAATATTTATGAATTTGTATTTCAGTTTAAATGTGTATGAATATATTTGAATGCCCTTATTATTCTATTTCAGGTTCAAGAATTTTATTATTATTCATTAATATTTTAATAGAATAACATTCTAAAAAACAATATCATAGAATATCATTCTAACAGAATAACATTCCGACATAATTAAAATTAAATTAATTAAAAATATCATAATTCAAAATTAAGATAATAAAACATCTCTTAAAATCCGAAAATTTCCTTTTTAAATGTTTTTCCTAATTTAAAAGTAATGGAAATGTACATTTTTATCCTTCGTTAAACTAAATGGTATTACTCTGTTTTATTTTAATTTAATAATATGGATATTTATCTTTTTTAAAATAACTAAAATTATTGGTCCACAATCATTTCTACATCTACACAATAATTAGTTTGAATACAATAACTTAAGAGCGCGCACACACACACACACACACACATATATATATATATATATATATATATATATATATATATATATATATATATATATATACGATTAGAGATGAGCATAGGAGGGTACTCACCTCTTTTGGTGAGAATCGGAACCGTCGGTTCCTAGAAAGTTAGAACCGGAACCGCTCTAGGTAGTTCTTAAATTTTTGGAACTAGTCCCGGAACCAGCGGTTTCGATTTCTGGAGCGGGTAACCTGGTTACATTAATTCTGTTAACTTTTGTTGATAAAACCGCAATTTAGTTCGATCAAAATCGAATCAATTCGGACCAAGGACGGACAAAATCGGACAAATATCTTCTAAATCGGTCTACGTAACACACACATATTTATTTGATATATATATATAAACCAGTTTTGGCGGGTACCCAACAGGTAGCGGTTCCACAACTTTAGGAACCGGAACTGAAACCGTTTAAGGTGGTTCCTATTAGAGAACCGACAAATTCCGAGACGGTTCCGGTTCCAATGCTCATCTCTAGGTGAGATCCGTTGAGAACTTATGGTTTCTTGAGAACCCGAGAACTAAAGGTAGAACGTTATATCAAAATTAACTCATTAAGGGTATGATTGTCATCTTACAAATCTCATTTAATGTTTAATTTTTTATGTTATTGGAAATATTAATAAAAATATCCAAAATTTTACATAAATAATCAAAAGTTTGTTTTTTTTAAATATATATTTTTTATTTTTTTAAAACTGAAGATTTTTTTTAAAACATGATTTTAAAAAAAAATGATTTTTTTTAAATTGCAATTATTTAAGAACAACATATTTTTAAAAATAAGTAATTTAAAAAACTGCAATACTTTAAAGAAACTTTAATATTTTTAACAAGAAAAATTAACGATTTATATATATATATATATATATATATATATATATATATATATATATATATATATATATATATATATATGTTCTTATGTGCTAATAAACATATTTTTATACTATAATATTTGTATGTCAATCATAAAAAAAAAAAAAAAAAAAAAAAAAAAAAAAAAAAAAAAAAACTCATTTTTATTTAGTAATCTATAACCACAACAATAGTACAAATATATTATTCGGTATAAAATAAAATATAAAAACAAAAAATGCTACAAATTTTCAAAGCGTTTTCATGTTTTCGTGTCAAGATGTACAAATTTTCTTCAATTTATCACTTTTCACATCTTCAATATTTTCCACAAATTTTTCCAAATCTACAAGAAAATTAAAAGAAAAAAATGATTAATGCAAGAACACTCACAAAAATTAATATTTATATATCATGTAATATTCACATGTGACTATATAATGTGATATTCACATGTGATTGTATCTTTTAAGATTCATATGTGAAATTCATAAGAAAAGTTTAAAAAAATAATGAAAAACACTCACACAAAATGCATATGTGAATATAGACGTAATGCATATATATTATTTACATGTGATTCATACATGATTTACATGTGAATCACATGTAATTCATGTGATTCACTTGTGAATTGCATGTGATTCATACGTGAATTACATGTGATTTATATGTGCATCACATATGATTCATATATAAATCACATATTATTTATGTGTGTTTCACTTGTGATTTACACGTGAATCACATGTAATTAATATGTGATTCACTTGTGATTTACATATGAATCACATGTAATTCATGTGATTTACTTGTGAATTGCATGCGATTCATACGTGAATTACATGTTATTTATATGTGCATCACATATGATTCATATATGAATCACATATAATTTATGTGTGATTCACTAGTGATTTATATGTGAATCACATGTAATTCATATGTGATTTACATGTGATTCATACGTGAATTACATGTGATTCATACGTGAATTACATGTGATTCATACATGAATTACATGTGAATCACATGTAATTCATGTGATTAACTTTTGAACTGCATGTGATTCATACGTGAATTACATATGATTTATATGTGCATCACATTTGATTCGTATGTGATTCACACGTGATTTACTTACAACCATCACACCATGATTTAGACAAATACGAAAATTTAAGAATAAATTCAACCTAACTTAAAAAGTTTAGATAAAAGTTAATTAAACAACAGTTGGGGCATGCATCTGATTTGTAGGGAGTCAAAACAACATTTTAGTGATGAGTATAGAGAGTAAAAGAATAAATTTTCGTTGATGTTCTCAAATATAGAATAAAGCAAATGAAAGGCTCCTAGAAACTATATTCATTACCTTGATCTAGATTTTGGAAAGTCATAAATTTCATTATCTGCAAAATGAGCTTTGTATAAGGAAACATAAATTTACTCAGTAGAAGGTAAAATGAGTAGTAAGCAGTCTTGTATTGAACAATCCTACTATGACTGCATCAACAGGACAAGGGAATAGATTAGAAAAATGTAAGATTTGGATAGATAGACTAAAGACAAAAGTTAAAGGTGGTTTGGTTTCTTACTTATGTAATGAATACTTTGACAGATATTTCTCTCCTCAAGTGTAGTAATCAAATCAATCATCTGTATAGAGGTTGTTTGAAATTCTATGTGTGCTTAAAAGTACAATATATTAGTTAGTTGTACGTAACTATTGAAAAAGTAAAGTATGTGAAGAAGATAAAGAAAAGTAATTAGCAACCTCGTTGAACATGTCAACTAAGTCAATGTAATATGACTTTTCATGGAAATGTTTCTTGAGAATTCTTGGAATATGGTTGCAAAGAATTATCCCATCATTTTCAGCAATCATACCAACCTAGAATCAACTTTCACTATTTTAGATATCATATAATGAAATGAAAAGCAAGTATTATATTAGAAAAATAGAACATTATATCATTGTTGTTTGTAGAGTTGCAACTTGGGTAATCTGAAACCCACAAGGTTGACCTCTGTGGGTATGAGACTCGTCCGTGATGTCATCAAGCACAAGGACGTATGCTTGAAGCTGCCAATATTTAAAACAGTGGACTTCAATTAGTATATATCATGCAATTGAAATGAAAGGAAAACAACTCAACTACCATTCTCTTAATTCTCTGAAATATACTCTTGGAGAATAGTTGTACAGTTGCATAAATAATAACCAAGAAATTCTTATCGATCAAAAGAGAAACATTTATGAAGGAACATATTTATACAAAATCAAAAACTAACTTACTGAATTGGAAGGTGCTGTTTGTTTTTTGGAAAAAAAACATCTTTAGACATCTTATTGCTGTGCGACGCAGCACACGCGCAACACTTTTCAACTCACAACTGTTGTTTTTCAGAAGTCTTCGGATTAAAAAACTTTTGTGCGTGTTCTTCTTGGCGCAACATTTGTTTTGCCTCTTCCTACCTCTTCCAACCTCTTCTTCTTTTTTTTTCTTGCTAAAATATTGATTATATATTGCTGAAATCTTATTTCACATTTTTTTCGTTTTTTTTGTTTATTTTTGTTGATTTTTTTTTCTTTTTTCTTTATATTGAATAATAATAATTTGTTGACGAAATATCATTATTTTATGCTAAAATATCTTTACTTTTTTTTTGTTAAATTATTATTATTTTTTTGCTAAAGTATTATAAATTCTTGCCGAAATGTCATACATTATTAAATTTTCGGTATTAAAAAACTATTTTTGGATTATAAAATCAGTTTATTTTTATTTTTTAATATCTGCAGCAGCATGCAGATGTTAAAAAAAAAAAAAAAAAAACACGCTTCTTATTATAGTCTGCAGTTGTTTGGTCCACCTCTTCTACTGCAGATGGTTACAGAGGTGGTCCGCAGACTTTATGATTTTTACTTCAAAAAAACAAACAACACCGAAGTATAATATCAAAAGTTTGAACTCATAAATCGAGAAAGGCTAGAATAAGGTTATATATAACCTACCTGAAGACCAAATTCAAAAGATGATACTATTTGAAACATAAAGCGAAAGTAGAGAGCAAAAAGCAAACTAAAAAAGACGTTAAGTTTACAGTGACATGAAATTTAGATTTAGATATAGATGTAAGATATGGAATTGGAACTGGAATTCCGAATTTCGAAAGATGAAGGAAAGCAAACATTAAATCAAAATCATTAAATGTTTTCATTTAAAGATTTAAATATTTATATAATAATACCTTTCTCTCATGCGATCTTGTGAAATGGGGTGCACTGCATTCTCTTTCATTTCATCGTATACACCATCATAATCAAACATGGATGGATCTTCCTCTAAGGATTTCTTATGTTGCTCCTCTACCTACACAAGAAACATGATAAGATAAAAGGAAAAGGAAAAAGGCCAAATGGTAATTTTGTTTCCATGGATGACTTACATCTTTGAGAGCCTTGTTTTTGCTGGCTTGTCTAGAAATTTCTCTCTCTCTATGTCATCTTCATCATCTTTACCTAAACCAGGTGTTGGAGGCCAAGGAGGTTTGGTAGGTTGCTTCTTTTGTTGGGAGGACTAGACTCTAAGGTTTAATTTGCACTTCATTTTACTTCCTATTCCTGCAACGGAAATGATAAATCATGGAATGTTTTTTGGGTTTAAGCCAAATTAGGGCAAGCATATTTGGAATAGCAGTATGAGAGATTCATGATTATAGAACACTTGAAACAATTTAAAGCATTATCAATTGATCAACTTTGGAATTTAAAAGACTGTATTTCACAGTTTCACCAAATTGTTTATGTATTTCACAGTGACATAAGCATAAACATATATAAATGAAAACATTTAAAGATGTTTTCTACGGATTAAATTACTGTATTTCACATAGAACTTTAAAAGAGTGTATTTCACATAGAACTAAAAACGAATAGGAAGATCATCCATCTCCTACGTCATAAAATCAATTAAATATAAAAAGTCGATACGGATTACAACTTTCTAGTACTAAAATTGGAAAGCAAACAATACACATATTTATGTAGCGTAAGGATATGATATAAATAAAAAACAAGGTACTATATGAGGTTGAGTAGAGTCAGTGGAAGGTGATAAAAGTGAAGATGGATAATTAGGGAAAAGATTTGTCACCTTGTCAAGAGTACCTTGTTGATGCACCACAAAATGATTTAGGTTTTCGATGAACACTTCTGCAATCGAAGATGAACACGACCGGCACCGATCTCTTAGATCGTAGATTATTCATCGATGATTTGGAGATGAATGACGCTGGATTGGTAGTAGTCTGCAAAAGGTAGATGTGGTTGATCAAGAGAGGAGGGACGAAGAGGGAAGAAATACGATGAAGAAGATGATGTGAAAGAAGGGGGAGAGAGAGAGAGAGAGAGAGAGAGAGAGAGAGAGAGAGAGAGATGTAAATGAAAGGTTTAATTAGGGAATTAAAATAATTCCTGAAATGCCCTTGATTCATTTCAATTTCTTTACCCCCCATGTCTTATATTTTTTTAACTATTTACAAAAATACCACAAAACATCTTCATCGTCTATTATTTTGATCTAACGACCCTCGTTTGGTTCTCGGGTTCTCATGAAACTATAAGTTCTCAAATGATTATTCCTCTCTCTCTCTCTGTGTGTGTGTATATATATATATATATATATATATATATATATATATATATATATATATATATATATATGGGTGAGATCAGTTGAGAACTCATAGTTTCCCGAGAACCCGAGAACTAAAAGTGGAGTGTTAGATCAAAATAAATTTGTTAAGAGCATGATCGTAATCTTTTCAATTTCATTTAATGTTTATTTATTTTTTGTTATTGTAAATATTAATAGAGATGTCTAAAAAATTACATAATAAATTAAATTTTCGGATTTTAAAAAAAATACTATTTTCAATTAAAAAAAATAGTAATTTTCAGTTTTTTTTTTTTTTTTTTTTTTTTTTTTTTTTTTTTTTTTTTTTTTAAGTTCAGATTTTTTTAATTTTTTATAGAAAACATGAATTTTTGAATTTTTTTTTTTTAAAAAACTATAAGTTTTATTCTAAAAGCATTTAAAAATCAATAAAATTAAAAAAAAACTGAAATATTTAAAAAATACTATAACTTTTTAACCAAAGAAATAAACATTTTTAGTACATTGATGCATATTTTTACAAATGTATATATATGCGTATTTCATATACTATAATATTTGAGAGGAAATCATAAGAAAACTCATTTTATTTACTAATTTATAAATACAATACAATAAGTATTTTATTCGATACAATATAAAATATAAAAAACAAAAGAATACTATAAAATTTCAAAGCATTTTCATGTCTTCGTGTCAATATTTTTATATATATATTTTTTTAATTTATCATTTTTCACATCTTCAATATTCATCACAATTTCTTCCAAATCTACAAAAAAAAATATATAAATAAATTGATTGATGCAAAAACACTCACAAAAATACAAATGTGATTTATATGTAAATCACATGTAATTCATATGTGAATCACATGTAATTCATATGTGAATAACATGTGATATAAATGTGAATCATATTTGAATTACATCTGATTTACATGTGAATCACATGTAATTCATATGTGAATTACATGTCATTTATATGTGTATCACATGTGATTCATATGTGATTTACATGTGAATTATATGTAATTCATATATGAATTACATGTGATTTACATATGAATCACATGTAATTCATATGTGAATCACCAAGTTAGTATGTGAAAAATATGTACATGTATATATACTAAATTAGTAAACAACTATGTGAAAAAAAATACGTACATGTATATATACCAAGTTAGTATCTATATAGTTTCATATTTTAATCGTTGGTCACCAAATGGATCAATATCATTATCTAAAGCATCCTTTATGTTTGATTCTTCATACAGGGATGATTCTTCTGTTTAATCATCTTCGAGCTCCATAATGTTGTTCTAATGCAAAATGGTTAGATATTAGATTACAATCAGAACATGATAGTTGATGCAATAAAGATGAGAATTCAAATCCCAGATAAAAACTTTTATGGCAGCCAACAAACTAACCTTCAAATCCCAGATAAAAACTTTTATGGCAGCCAACAAACTAACCTTCTACCTGCCTTTTTCTTTTAACATACTTTAACATCTTTGGGTGATTTTGGGAAATTCAACTCTTCCAACTATATAAAAAGTAGAAAACAATTCAATTGCAATATAAAAACTCTAAAACTCACAAATTGACTTTATATTTCCTTTTCAAAATTACCTTATTGATATGACACATATTCTTGAAAGTGTTTGCCTTTAGTAAGAAACCCATGGTCGTGTTGCTTTTGTTCCGTCATTTTCAGTAGCATTTAGTTTTAGATTTCTAATTTGCTTTTCAAAGTTCATCCATTCATTTGATTTATATATATATATATATATATATATATATATATATATATATATATATATTTAAAATTAATAAGTATGAGGCTAGTGCCATTGAAGATAATAATATGTTTAATTACACTTCATGAACCGACCATTCCGTCAGCAATCTTTACTTTAATTTCAAATACAAATTAGATTTTTATTCCAACCTAGATTGGATGGAAATCAAACTAAACTTGTAATATTCACTAAAATAGCTCTTAAGCAGCTACATCATATAGATAAATATTGTTAAGAATCAAATTAATCAAATTATATATTATTTATCTACCATAAAGCGTAACTTTATATGAATTTTTAGTAAATTCTCTCAGCAGTGGATACAGAATGAAGAAACACAACAATGACTATTATAATACCATTGCTGCCACGATCCAACTTCAAAAAATCAGAATAAATTGAAATTAGAAATCAATCAACAAATACCTTAGCTTAGAAAAATGCGAGATAAACTCACTAAAATCCAATTTATAATAGAAAGTTGAAATCATATACAAATAAAAAAACAAACTCTTGCAGACAGTCGATATGGAAGAAAGAGATGAAAGTGGTGACTAAACCGGATCGATGTAGGAGAGAAATAGAGAGATCTCTGGTGATGAATGTGTGACGACCGGAGGAAGAAGTGATAAATCTAATAATAAAGTATCGTGCAATGATTGATCAGAGTAGAAGGAGTCCATTAACGATTCACCATTGCTCTTAATCGATCGATCCAAATTTGGAATCGATTATTAGTGAATTAGCTAAATCGGAAATTGGCTGCGGAGAGATTCATCGGAAGGAGGAGAACGATAGTGGGGAGTTAGTCGTGATTTTTGAAAAAACTGAGAGACGAGAGAGAAAGGGAGAAAGAAGACATGTATATGTTTGTGAGATAGATAATGAGTTTTTTAATATGTTAAATTGAATATTATAGATATATTTTTAATTTCTAATACGACCTTGTGATTATTTATAAAACGTCTAAGATACATTGAAACAAGAGATAATTACAAGTATGCCATGATCAAAATCATTCAATATTTTGATCTAATGTTCTACTTTTAATCATCGGATTCTCGGGAAACTTTAAGTTCTCAAATGACCATTTCTCTTTTTATATATATATATATATATATATATATATATATATATGAAATTTTTACCAAAATAAAAATAATACGAAAGAGTGTGACTAGATCCACTAAAAAAACTCTATAACAAAAGGTAAAATAAAAAGGAAGTGAATTTTGCACGTTGTATGAATATTTTAATGTTACGTTTCCACTTTCCTATACGATTCCAGCCACTTTCTTGGTGGCGGCCGGTAGGGGGCGGCTCAACCCTCATATAACAAGTTGACACCAACACAAGCCAAGCCACCCACTCAACAGTCAACACGCTTCTGTTTCTGTTCAGATTTCAGATCCAACAACACAATGAGTATGAGAATGCAAACTTTAAGCGAAGAAGTAGAGTACAACTGGACCGCCGATCGCCGTCCCGGCCGTGATATCGTTATCGCAGTTGATCATGGCCCTAAATCCAAACACGCCTTCGATTGGGCACTCCTCCACTTCTGCCGCCCCGGCGACACCCTTCACCTTGTCCACGCCGTCTCCAGTAAGTGCAATTTTCCTAATTTCTCTTCGTTTAGCGTTTCAAGTTCAATACACAGAGTAGATCACTACCTATCACTAAAATTTTCCTAATTTCTCTTCGTTTTCGATTTTTTTGATTGATACTGGTTGTTGTGATTAGGTTTAAAGAACAATATCGTTTATGATGTAACGCAGACGTTAATGGAAAAACTATCTTTGGAGGCCGTGAAGGTTGCTATGGTGAGTAATTTTTTTACCGCTTATTCTTAAGATAATTTCGCTTGTGGATTTGTGTTCTTACATGATTGTAGTTATTAAATCTATGATGTTTTATGTGTACTTAATGATGATCTTCTTATTAGTTACAGAGTTTATATGTATATGTTAGTTGAATAAAAGAACAACTCCTAGTATCAATATATACTCCATCAATTCCAAATTGGAGATGCATGATTTGCAAATGCCAGTTATTGAAATTAGGGGGAAGACTTTAGGAAGACCTTCTTTTCAAGTGAAGTGGGGGACTATAAAAGATTTTATAAATTGTGATAAATCTTGGGACTCTGGCATTTCACATGTTGACTTTTTGACATCTAAGTTTGTGGAAGAAATCGTCTCTTTACTAATTTAAAATTGTATGATTCTGAAAACCCTAATCCACCAACTCCTAAATAGTTTGAAGGAGTATTTAGTGCCTGTGACCCCAGCTGTCTTAGATATATAAACACATATGATAACTCAATACATGTGATGAAGTTGTTATCAAGATTTTCATATGTATAAAATTCACCTCTTCTCTCTAGCTGGAGTTCATTAAATAGGGCATTATCCTATGGCAAACCCTGGATTTTAAAAGCCAAAAGTATATGCTTTCGATGAAAACTTACTCTATTTTTCCAATCTATGGAAATCTTATCATGTAACTTTATCTTTTTTTCTACAAAAACAACGAGACACATGTTTGTTCAAAATGTACAGAATGCGATTTTGAGTTATAATGTATACGCCCATAGATAATAATATAATATTCTGTAAACAACTTGTTGCATTTATAACTTTATTATTATAATTTCTGATTTTGTAACAATTTTTAAAATTCTATTTGAGCAGGTAAAAACAGTGACACGAATAGTTGAAGGAGATGCGGGGAAGGCAATTTGCAAGGAAGCAGAAAAAGTGAAGCCAATAGCTGTTGTCATGGGTACAAGAGGCCGCAGCCTAATGCAAAGGTAATTATGAATAATTAATATTTAAAAAATATTGATTGTCTTAATAGATTAGGCCAGCTTTTGGCTTAATCCATTAAGTCATTATTATTATTGTTATGTTGTTATTGTTAACCAATTTGTTTTTCATGTCTTCAGTGTATTACAAGGAAGTGTAAGCGAGTATTGTTTCCACAATTGCAAATCAGCACCTGTAATAATTGTTCCTGGCATAGGTATGAGATTTCAATTCTTTTTCATTATTTTTAAATTGTTGTAAAAATGGGTTTCTGAATGAATTTATTATATAAAACAGTAGAAGCTGGGGAAGAATCAGTGGTTCCGATGGACTAGAGATCATTTTAGTAATGGTCGTGAAGTGGTAGATGGTGATTTCTTGCTCAAATTGATTGTTTTTCATTCTTAATTTGTACATTATGTGTGTTGTATTCATTTTGTAATATTTTATATTCTAATATTCTTATTTTTGGTTCTGTAATATTATTATTCTAATATAGTGGAAGACCATTTTATAAATAAATGCAACTTCTTTATAACAAAGTTAGTATCTAGAGTAAATTGCATTTTTGGTCCCTGAGTATAGCTGATTTTAGCAATTCTAGTCTCATTTTTTTGGGTGTAGTTTTGGTTATTGTTCAAAGTAAAATGATTGTTTTTGCTACCTAAGTGTAGCTGATTTTGCAATTTTGGTACCAAAAATAGTCCTTTTATATGGAACATGGATGAATAAAAGTGTTACAAAAACTTCAAATAGGGATCGAAATTGCAAAAGAAAACTTTTGAGGACCAAAATTGAAAAAACCAGTTAAACCTAGGGACCAAAAATGTAACTTGCTCTTAAATCTAAAACCAGATTCTGATGGGAAAACAAGAGGAAGTGGTAATTAAAATGGTCCTAAAATATCTCTGGTTAAGAGGCTGACTGATATCCACACTTTTGGCAAGAGAATCTTGTTGTGTAATTTTGGTGTTATTATTCCATGCAATTGCATTATGTGAAGCAGAAAAATTCAAAGGAATAAATCTGTGGCTGTTGGAGTGGGCCTAAAGGAAAAAGGTTATATGGAATATCACAATCGAGTGAGGCAAACAAAATCAAGTAGATCTTGGTATGGATCAGGCCGGATCCACCCGTCATTGTTACATTTGGGTTGAAAACGATCGAAAGCTGCGGCTCTTAGACGCCCCAAGACCAAGTATATGCAACCATATTCATACGCAGTTTTCATGGTCCCCCTTGTCTTTCTGTTCATTTAACCGATTAACAAGGATATTAGTTCACTGTATATACTACATAATAATTCACAGTACAGTTGGTTCTTGGTTGATATATTTATTAAAATGATCAAGGTTCGAGTTCAGCAGACACAATGTGAGATTTTCAATTCCAATTAGAACATGAAATGAGTTTGGGTGTAGAGTTAGGGTTTAGGTTGACCTTCCTAATTAACAAGTTGAGATTCTCAGGACATGTTTGACATGAAGCGTTTAAGAGTTTTTAGCTTCTAGTATTTGACAAAACGTTCCGTTTTGAACAAAAAATTTTGTTTAAGCTTTTAGCGTTTTGTTTAAACAAAACGCTCAAAATCTAGAAACTATCGCGTAGCGTTTAATAAAACGCTATCAGCTACCTACTAGTTTTGTTGAATATGCCCACCAACTTAAATTATTGGGTAAATGGTTTGATCACATGTTGGCCAATTTGCTTTGTTTTGTTTGTTTGTAAGCACAAGTTGTTGATTAAACGAGCTGAGCATGGGGTGGCTCATTTAAATTTTAATGTTCACATAAATTTTATAAAGTTTAGACTTCAAACCCAAATAATTATCCAGAGAACATTTTAACTTTATTACTTTTAAGCAACTTAACTTTCATTTTAACAATCTAATCTGACCACTAGATGGAATATGGACTTTGAAATTCTCAAAATCAGAGATATTTGTGAACTGGCGTATCCCAAATGTGATTTATGTACAAGACTTTAGGGTTTCGTTTTTGTATTCCTACTTTATAAAGTATAAGATATAAATTAATGTATATTTAAACGAGAAGTGAGATCAGAAAATTTCAACCCTAACTTGATTGATTTAGTTAACTCTGTGGAGAATTTCAACTCAACCCATTGATTTTTAGGTTTTGCCTTTTTTTTCTTACT